TTTGTCTTTTTTAGTACAAGTCTTAAGATATTTGTCTTTGTATCTCTTAATGCCAAAAGTAGAAGTCATCTGCTGATCTTCTATAATTTCGCACGTGAGGGGTTATTTCTTGGTTTCGTCCAGTCATTAATAACTTGATCCAAAACTTGTTACTGATAACATGAGGAAATAAACCCATTTATACTTCAATTTCATGTTACCATCTATGTACCTTGCACTTAAAGTGTATCTTAGCAAAGAATTATCGAGCACAACAAAATGACAATGGTGATTCTTTACAATCCTTTATCAAACCCCTCTATCCAACGTTTGTATGCATGAAATTCTTTTTTTGAGGTCTGAAAGGTGAACAATTATGGAGAGAAAGGTGATGGATGATTGTTTCAACGAAAGAGGTGACCGGCTGAGAAATGTTATTGTTTGTTAATCGGCAATTAGGTTTTAATTGATAAGTCACGTAATTATTGAGGCCTCAGTGAACAAAAAATAAAATATATTGTTTTTCCAAATTAAGTGTATAAAAGTTATGAATTTTATAGTATTTGCCTTAAAAAATGGGAGATTAAAAAATAGGATGGTTTAATCAAAATAAAAATCCAAACTAAGATGATTATTATGGAATTTGGGCTACCAACAAATGAGGAAATTTCAGCCCATTACTTATAAGATTAAATTCCGTTGCTCTAGCAACGTATATATGTACAAATTCAAACTTAAAAGTTAAAAATTAAATCAAATAAATTGAACAGTTAAAAGTAATAAATATTTTTTTCAAACATCTTAAATTGATTCATTTTTTTTGTTATGATAATTATTATTTTAATGTCGAATTTATAGTCATATTTAAAATGTTAACTTACTTATAGAAGACAAAAAGTGTAAGCAACCAAACCTTATAACTTCTCATATTTTTGTCATTATACATGACATCATATTTCACGAGTTTGTTTTTATATTTTTATAGGATAGGAACGATTTTCCTATCATTTAATCATTATAATACTTTATCCATCCCATATTAATAGCTTTTGTTTACTTTTTGGTTTGTGTCAAAATAATAGTTTACTCTAAAAATAAATATATTTTTACCAAAAAACTCATCATTATTAGTTAAGCTACCATGTAATTAAATGAAACAAAATGATAGAATTAAATACAACAAAATGGTACTATTACGATTTCATTAATAAAGTTAATAGTAATTAATGTTTTCTTAAAAATGCTACTAATAATAGACCCCTCTTATACACCCCATTGATATATTTATAAAAAGTCAGGGGCGGGCCCAAAAACAATGTTGAGGGGTTGCAATTTTTTTTTCTAATAACCGGTGACATATCCAAGATTTCGATATTTATATGTTGGGGGTATAAATGTATTAAATAACCTTTTCGGGTGGGGTTAAAACGGTTTTAAACAAAATTTTCAAGATCAAGTTCTTTTAATAAACCCTATATTACCTAAAACTCTAAAATACCTAAGGACTCCAAAAAGAAATAGCACCAACTACAATACCTAAATAAACTTTTGCGGCTTCGTTATGTCACCAATACGAATATTCATATTATATATTTATGATTTAGATAATTTTTTCAATCCATAATCTGAACAACTAAAGTTTTAGCAGCTAAGCTAATGGAAGTGACATTAAAAAATAACATGTATGAATATGATATGTAAATGAATCATTAATAATTTATATATTTTCATCTTGTTAGAATTTATATATGTGAAGGCATGTTTAAAAGTAAGTGGTCATCATCTCAATTGACACCATGACACTATGTATGAGATAGGCTAATTGATTCATTTAAGGCTAAATGATTGGACTAATTAAGTAATTGATGCATTGTATTTTTCTTAGACTTTGCACTCTATATAAAAAATACATCTAATTTTTTTTAACACTAGATGAATTGCCCTACCAACTAATTAAATCCGTCCCTGTAAAAAAATCAACATATAATTAACTATTTATAATCAAGATTTTTAGAAAACAATGTAATTTCAGTCAATAAAAATATTTTCAAATTTAATGAGTGTCTATATGGTAAAATAGGATGTCTTTTTAGCAAACATCTTTCTTAATTCTTAATTAATGTGTTTTTTGTTTCTAAATAATAATTTTGAGACGGAAAGAATAATATGACATTAATTGATCTTTTTTATTCATACTTTTTTTTAAAAGACATTGCAAACTTTTTTATACTGTTTTCTATAATATTCATGAAATTTATAATATGATCTTCCTATTCTTTGTTATAAACATATCCCTATATATAGCATCGTGAAGTTGATTTAAAAATATTGGGGGGATGTTTCGCTAAATGGAAAAAAATTTGGGGATATATATTAGGGGAATTGAACCCGACGTGAATCGAACACGCAACCTTCTGATCTGGAGTCAGACGCGCTACCATTGCGCCACGGATCCCTTTGTTTAATTCCTTCCTGATATCTTTTATATCGGAGAATAATAATGTATGGGTTAGAAGGTTGAAGTTGAACCATATAAAATAAGTACAGATACGAAATGTTCACTTAAATTTAATTTGAACATATATTTAATAATCATTTGTACTTGATTATGTTCATTACAGGAACTAATTTTTTCCACATAAAATGCAAATGCATCTTTTTCTTTCAGTAAAAAAAAAAGTAACCGGAAACCACACTAAATAGTATTCACGATCAAACGATGGTTCCTTTGCCACATAGAATCTTGTTACACATTCGCATGATTAGTTTAAGTTAATTTCAACTCTATCAACCAAATAGTAATTGTGAAGCATGTGCGAGAAATAATTTTTGCAAATTCATAAGGTTTCATTCAACCATGCATACATAAATGCTCACCATTGCCTAGTCGCAAGGTTATATATATATTCAAATACTTAACACTTAGAAAAATTGATCTTTAAGTGCTTATGTGATTATTGGTCTCATTCTATTTGTTGTTGATTCATTATGTTGTTTGATTGTATTTGCATACAACAACAAATTTTCAGTACATCGGTCACATGATGATACCCATTGCCTCTTGTTTACGTGTTTAAGATGAATACTAAGGTATGAGAAGACAAAAAGTCCACTTATAATGTATTCGATTTAGAATTCTATCATCCAAGAATGCTACGTCTCCCTTTAATCTTCTATCACTATCAGGTTGAAAGAACGATTGAGAAATGATGAACAGGATGATATGAATAATGTTTAAGTTGTGTCCCGTGGTTGTAGATGAAACCACTTAAATCAACCTACTGGCGTAGGTATATAGGTTCAAAGGAGGGCCTTGTCAACCCATATGAATTTAAGTTCTTATGTATAATATATATTTTTGTTAAGTAAATGAAAGTTGGGCTTCATATGGCCCACCCATAACAAAACATAAAATTCCATATGAGAGAATATACAACTTTCATTTCGACGATAAAATACATTTTGTTCAATTTATGTTGCCTTTTGCTTTTTGAATTTCTTTTGTTTTCTCGTTAGTCGTTATTTATCAGCCAATCAACTTAGTATATTAATTTTTTTCTGTTAACTTAATTACTCAATTACTTCATTTTTGTTTTCATTTTCATTATAGATTTTATAAGTTTATCTAGGTTTCTAATAATTTAGATTATTAATTCTTGTTAGAAATTAGTTATTTGTATGTTGTATTATATGTATTATTGTTAATAGTCTAGTTCTTCATATATGATATCGTTAAATTGAATCCATTTTAGATTATTTTAATGATTGATAAGAATGTATGTTGTATTATATGTATTATTGTTAATAGTCTGGTTCTTCATATATGATATCGTTAAATTGAATCCATTTTAGATTATTTTAATGATTTATAAGAACGTCGTATGCAACTTAAAGTACAAATTACGCGAATGGTCCTTTAGGTTTTGGATTTTTCCCCAATCTAGTCCCTATGGTACTTTTTTCCCTCAAATAGTACCTATAAACCATAAGTTGCACGCGTTTGGTCCCCGAATTGGATGTCCGTCCATTCCAACGTTAAGTTGCTCCATTTGACTTGCACATGAGGATATTTATGTTATTTTAGCCTAAAGGACCTTTTCTGAATGATTGGAATTAACAACTATATCCATTAAGGTGACGGGGTTTAGTTTCAGACATTGACTTTACACTCTATCTCTTTCCCCAAGAAAACCTTTTGATCATCCCATCTTCTTCAATCGTGAGTTCTTATCGTCGTCGGTCGTTATAGTTCAACTAATTGAACGGTGTATCGAGGAAAATGGTGCTCACATTGTGGTCTTTACATCCACGCTACACCCAACCACCTGACCTACGTAAAGAATATGGTAAGCACGAACCTTGTAATGCTAGGTTTTGACAAAATGTAATTTTTCTTTCCTCCATCATTAACATTTTATTGTTCTTGAATGTTCACAGGTTCTATTTCAAGCTTTTGCACATTCAAGATAAATCATGGAGGTTCGTTCACAAATACGGTATCTAGAAGGTCATACATAGATGGGCTTGTTGATCACTTTGGTTTTGTGGATATGGATGTGTTTTCAGTCCACGAGTTAAATGATATGATGGCAGTTTTAGGGTACAATGATGGTGGTATAATGTTTTACCATTTCATGATCCCAGAGACAGACTTGGATAGTGGATTGTTACCCCTTGGCACCGATCAGGAAGTCATTCAGCTGGCAAGGTATGTGCTTAATCATAATGAAATTAATTTGTACATCGAGCATGGAAATACTAGAGTAGTCCCTTACCTTAAGTCCCTATTGAAGGTTCATATTGAGGAAGTTGCAGAGAATGATTCTCCTGAAATGAATAGGGTTAGAATGAAAAGGAAATCAATTGGGTCATGTAGTAAAAAGTTGGATTTGAATGAGTCCACTGATTTGTCAAAGTTAATTGTACCCTATGAACCTGTAATCAACAAAAAACACTCAGTTGATCGAGAGAATGATCCCTTTAGGGGGGTACAGTTTGAGGATAACCATGGTAAAAAAAAGATGTTGACACAGGGGATGAGCACCAAGCAAAAGGGGATGTTGATCCAGTGGATGATTATGAGGTAATGGGGGATGTGGATGCAGAATATGGTGGGGGGGGGGGGGAAATCTACATGATGTTGAGTTTTTTGAGGATGAATACAGTGGAAGTAAGGAAAGTGTTAGTGAGGGTCCTTGGAGTGAGGGTAGTAGGAGTGAGGGTAATATGACAGATGATGAGAGTGAGGACGAAGACTTCTTTGTGGATTTAGAAAATATTGTAGATGATGTGGATGTCGATATGAAAGAATTTCATATACATGTTGATGAAGATGTTGAGTGGGTTCAAAAAACCACCAAAGAAGCAAGTGGTAGTGGTGTTGACTTTACTGAAGGTGAAGATTTGGAGGTCATAGACCCAGAATTGTTTGAGTCACCTATTGTAGATGAAGATAACAACAGAGAGAGGATGTTGAGAGACATAAGAAAGGAAAAAAGTTGTTCTGAGGGTGTAGTTCATCAAAAAGCTTTCACATTAGGATAGAAGTTCAAAACAAAGAAAGATGTGAAAGAATATATAAACAAACATGCAGTAGAAACCAAAAGGGATTTACATTTTGAAAAAAATGACAAAACAAGGATTAGGGATAAGTGTAGAGGAGTGGTCCCAGATATGAGTGGTGGGCCATGGACAAAGTCAAGGACTGGATTCAAGGACAAAACAGTAAATATGAAAGAGGGTAAATGTCCTTGGGTTGTACTGGTGTCTAGACCTAAAGAGATAGATGACTGGGTAGTGAACACCTTAGTTAGTGAACATCGGTGTGTGCAATCAAGAACCATTAAAGCTTGCAACTACAAATTCATTACAGCAAACATTGTGAAGCAAATTGAGAGTAATCCAACCATTCCAGTCAATGCACTTCAAGAAGATCTCATTCAAAAATTCGAGATGAACATGTCAAGAATGAAGGTACATCAGGCAAAGGAATTGGCTCAGAAGCATGTTTTTGGGGATTTTCAGAAACAATATGCTATTTTGAGGGACTATGGACTAGAGTTGATGGAAAGAAACCCAGGTACTAATGTGAAGATCGATTGTTACAGTGATCCAAATTTAAATTCTGAACAAGGACATTTAGGAGAATTTACATTTGTTTAGGAGCATTAAAGGAAGGATTTAAGGCTAATCTAAGGGATTTCAAAGGGTTGGATGGTACTTTCATGAAAGGTCCCTATCCTGGTCAAATTTTGACTGCCGTAGGGGTATATTCCAATAATGGGATATATCCTCTTGCATATGCTCTTGTTGAGAATGAAACCACCAATTCATGGACATGGTTTTTGGAACAACTTGGTGATGATCTGGAACTTAATGCTAATTCAAACTTCAATTTCATCTCAGATAGGCAGAAGGTACATATACTTCAATTTAATTTGATATTGTTGTTATTTAGTCAACTAAGTATTGAAATATTTAAATAGGGTATCATTCCTGCAATTGCCAAACTTTTCCCTCAAGCTGAGCATAGGTTCTGTCTGAGGCATATTTTTGAAAATATGAAAAAGCAGTGGAAGGACAAAGAGCTCAAAGATTTGGTGTGGGCATGTGCAACTGCTACTACTGTAAGGCATTTTGAGAAAGCATTAGAAGAGCTAAAGAAATTCAAAGCTGAAGCTCATGATTGGCTGATACAGATTCCTCCAGCTCATTGGGCAAGATCTCATTTCTCAGGTTAGTACTTCATCTTTCCTTTATGTTAACATTTACATGCCATTGTTAGGATTTGTTCTCATTTTGTATTATATGACTAAACAGGGAGGGCACATACTAACATCTTGTTGAATAACCTGTGTGAGGTTCTGAATGGAAAAATACAAGGTGGTAGGGACAAACCTATCATTTATTCTTTGGAGTATATTAGAGAGTATTTGATGAAGAGAATTTGCAATGTCCGAAGAGAGACTGATATATGCCATGGTCCTCTCACACCAACTGCCACTAGTCCTCTTGATCAAGTGAAAAGACAAGCACAAAAGCACAGGTGTATTTTCAATGGGGTTAAAACTCAAGTGACTACTCATTGGGGTGATCAGTTTATTGTGAATTTGGATGAAAAAACATGTACATGTAGACATTGGGAAATTACAGGCATGTTATGCTCACATGCAATAAGTGTAATATGGGACAAGATTAAACATTGATCAAATAATGTTCATGAGTTGGAGCATTGGGTCCACCCATGCTACTGACAAGTGTAACGCCCGTAGATCCGAGCTAGTTAATTTGAGACGTTAAGCGTCAAAAATGACTTTTTGATGGAAGATTATTTTGAAAGAATAATCTTAACTAAGTTATAGAATATGTTACAAGGATTCCGTACATATAAAGAACGCCAAAATCCGAGTAATAACGAAGAAGTTATGACCTGTCGAAGTTTCGCGACAAAACCGGCACGACACAGCGCGACGTAAAAAGTGAATTTACGTTAGAGCGATATATAGCCTTAGCAATCTAAATGAAAGTCGTAGAATACGTTAAACCATGATCGTGCATAAAAAGAACGCCCAAATCTGACTTCGTATGAGGAGTTATGATTTTTCGAAGTTTTGACTTAGCAGTACGCAGCCCGAATGCTCGATTTGAGACCGAGCGGTTTTTAGCCGAAACAATCTAAATGAGAATTGAATATCTCATTAATTGTAGTAAAACGATAAAAAGATAGGCGAAAACGGACGTCGGATGAAGAAGTTATGATTTTATTACGGAGTTTTCCTGTCCCGGCCTACTAAAAATAAATAATAAAAATAAATTCAAAATTAGCCTACATAGTCTAAACAAAAGTTGTATATCGTAGTCTCACCTACGCTGTCCGATCATCTTCTGATCAAGTGAGTGTGTAGTTACTTTCTTCTAACGCATAATTATGAAGTATTTTATACGAAATACGTGTTATGTGTATATATATTGTTGTTTATATGTGTGAGTGTATAGTCACTTTCATCTTACACATATATATGAAGTATTTTATAAAATACGTGCTATGTGTATATATATTGTTGTTTATACGTGTGAGTATGTGATCACTTTCTTCAAACATATATATATATATATATATATATATATATATATATATATATATATATATATATTAAGTATTTTCTATGAAATACGTGCTATGTGTTTATATATTGTTGTTTATTTTAGGTGAGTCTGGAATGGATGTTTTATATAGGTATTAAATGAGTTAATATGTATATGTATTTTATATCTACAAATATGTTGGGTAGAACATGGGTAGATGAATTAGATGATGTGTGATGATAATTAGGTGATGAGAAATAGGTGATGATAATTAGGTGATGAGAAATAGGTGATGATAGAAAGGTGATGAGAAATAGGTGATGATAAATAGGTGATGTGAGATGAGAGGAGATACCATAACCTTGACCGGCGAGGTGGCAATTTGGCGATGTAGTCATCTACCAGAGTATAGATGGCGACCACGGACTATTCTAGATGACCCCGTGGAAACACCAGCAGGCTCATAACCTGTAGGTGATGAATTACGAGTCGAGGCGATGTTGTGGCTACGTATTCATGCGATGATACTCTAACCCTTACTATGAATTACGAGTCCAGGCGATGTTGTGGCTACGTATTCATGCGATGATAGACTAACCCTTACTATGAATTACGAGTCCAGGCGATGTTGTGGCTATGTATTCATGCGATGATAGTCTAACCCTTATTATGACTTACTAGTCCAGGCAATGTTGTGACTACGTATTCATGCGATGATCCTTAGGAAAAAGTCCTTAGGAACAAACATACAAGGAAATGTGATGTAAGGAGATGAGAGGTAAATACGATGTAGGAGATGACCCTTAGGATAATTCCTTAGGGAAGGTACTTAAGAAATAAATGGAGATAACGGGGATGGGTAATTGGGTTGATTGTTTGATGATTTAATATATATATATATATATATATATATATATATATATATATATATATATATATATATATGATATAATATTGTGGGTTGAAAACCCTATATGCTCACCAGGCTCCCAAGCCTGACCCACTCAGTTTAATTGTATCACAAGTATCGATACGAAGCTGCTTTGCACTGTGAGATTAAAGGAGATGTAAATCACTAAAGTAAATGAATGTATGTTCTGTTTATGCTTATGTGTCTGTATCGGAACATGACATCCCGAGGTTTTATTATTTAATGAAAATACATTCTCTTTGAGAAATGTTTTGATAAGTTTTTATCATATCTTGTTTTGGGAACAAATTCCGCAACCGTTTTCTTTAAACGAATACTCTGATTTATAAAACAAAGCATAAACAAATCGGTCTTTTCTGGCCATGAAATTGGGGATGTCACAGCTAGTTACATGGGCAGAAGTGTACAAACACAAAATTGATCCTATAAATTGTAGATTGATGTGGCCCTAATCACAATGCTCAACCAAGTTGCTTCCACCGAAACATGTTGTTCAGGTATGTCTTCATATATCAATATAATTGAAGTTTTTTAAGAACAACAATTTAATCTTATGTACATTTGTAGGTGGGTAGGCCCAAAAAGAAAAGGAAGAGGGCATATGATGAACCTGCTACACAGGGGCATAAACTGTCCAAGAGGGGGACCACTGTCACATGTAGAAAGTGCAACAACAAAGGGCATAATTCAAGAACTTGTAAAGGTCAAGGTGGCCCTAATGACAAAAGAACTGAAGAAACAGGAGGATAGAAGTGAGGATGGGGGTGTTATTGAGAACCATTAGGTCTTTTGATGTAATTTGCACTTTACTTTTTTGGTTATGTTAACACCTATGTTTATGTACCAAAGAATACTTACTTTGGGCTCCTTATTTTGTATGGTCATGCATGTTGACCTTGAATCATTGTACACATAGGTAAACTGTCAAACAATGTCAACTACTGTTGTGATATACAATAGCATTTTTGTTATATTCTTGTTCTTGTCAACTAGTATTTGTGATATTCAAAGTGTTTGGTCATGCATGTTGAATTGCTGTTCTTGTCAATAATATTTGATTGCACAAAGCCATGACACAATAACCTTGTTCTGAAATTAAACCATTTGATTACAAAAAGACTATAACAAAATAACAACATTAACCAGGACATAATTTACTGCAGTCAAACTCAGAAAAGACACAAACATTACATAAACCATGGAACAATTTCCTGTCTTCAGACTCAAAATAAGACCACCACTAGATTAACCCTATGACTTCGACACTACTTCTTGCATTTAGACACCACATTCAGAGGCAACTTTGACCATGCTTCAAGTAATGAATTGCAAAAAGACCCCAACTGAAGAGAATGATTAACTTATACATCCTAGCTTACAGTGTAACTTGTTGAAGAGATTCTTGGAGCTTGTTCATAGACCTGATTAACCCAGGTATCACTTCCACTGATCTAGGGCACATCGGCTCATCAAACCACCCAATCCAACCACACATTCTCTCATTACTAAGACAAGACCAAAATCGCCT